GCTCGCTCACACACACACAGGTCAACTGTGAGAACAAGAGAACAACGAGGAAGGCACTAACATGGAAACCGGCCCCACATCTACACCAAGACCAAGTACAAATGCACCAGAGACTCAAAATTAATGCATTAATTCAAGTGTATGCAAACCAGGGCAGGGGAGAGTGCTTGCCAAGTTCACACAAGCCTTTGGGTTTGATCTCGGCATCCATTAAATACTAGGTCAGGTGGTGCACATCTGTAATCCCTGCACTGAAGAGGTGAGGCAGGAGGGTCAGAAGTTCAGGGTTATCCCCAGCTACACAGAGAGTTTGAGGCCAGCCTGGGCTACAGGAAATCCTACCAAAACAACACAAACCCTCATAAAGTACAAGAAACGACGGGCTGACATGAAACTCATCTCACAGTGAGTAAGACACAATAAGCCCACAAAAGCCTTGTGGGTGACAAGATTACAGGGTTAAGATCAACAAATTCAATTACATAAAAGTATAAAAGTTCTACATAGTTAAAGGTAATTTAAGGAAAAACAAATTAAAGGCAAACCCGGCTTTGTTCACAGCTGGGTTGCCTCTCGAGAACGCCGGAGTCCTGGTTTGGTCCCCAGCACTGTACAGACCAGCTTGTAGTCTGGAGCAAAAGACAGAGGACCCAAAGTTCTAAGGTTTGGGGATAGCCTAGGCAACATGAGACTGCCTTAAAAACCAAGCAAACAATTGATGGATCAGACAATACATAGAGAAAAATACTTTCAACGTTTATGCAAGTGCTAAATTCTCCAAAACAGCTCATAAATTCCTAAGTAAAGACTAGTAATCCAAACCAGGCATGGTGGGCACACCTCTAACCACAACACAGGAGGCTAGCCTTGTCTACATAGAGTTCTAAGGCAACCAGAGCTACATAACTAAAGGCGCGCACCACCACACCTGGCCCTGAGAATGTTTTTCAAATAAAACACACTAAAATGAAGGGCTGTGGGCTCACGGGAGAGACAGGGCAGGTATGTGTGAAGTGTGAAGTGCTGGGTTTACAATGCAGCCCCCAGCCAGGAGGCACCTGCAACAGACACAGCTGTCTGAGGCGGCAAGACCTCTGTGGAGGGCAAACTGGACCATCTATTATTAATTCCACTGGGTGAGAATAAGACCATTACAATAATTTTTTGAGCCAAATTTGAAGCAAGTTTTATTAAATATTTATTAGCCAGGTCCATGGATCCTGGCCATGTCCATACCCAGGTTAGCGCTCCCGTTATATAAGGAAAGTGCATACACTCTGACCCAGAAGCCCTACTTGTAGGCTGGCTGTGGTTCTATTCCCCATAAGAGGAGTGATGAAGTGCTGGTACAAGGCTGTCCTTCCATGATCTGATTGGGTGGGGGCAGGTCTGACGGCCACAGACAGAATGGCTAAGGGCTGACACCGCAGCGGCCACTGGTAAAACAACCCACAATCCATGGGACAGAGCCGGCCAGGATGGGGTAAGGGGAGGAGAAGGCAGCCCAACCAGTGTCCGTCCTGACCTCCCACCCCCTCTTCCTGGCCACCATGATGTGAACTGTTCCTCCCCACCACAAAGGAATGAGCCCCTTGAAACTGTGAGCCAAAATAAGGAATCCCCCCTAGCCCCCCCTTAACATGTTCTCTTGAATATTTTGGTCAGAAATACAGATAGAAATTGAATAACATAGTTACCTTTTCTATAAATAGAGTCAGGATAAAATAAAAAGGCAAAACTAATAGTAACATGAGAGACATTCCCCCTGCCCGGGGTGCGCCAGGGGCTGCCAGGGCTCCTTCCATAAGCCCTATGTTACACGGGCCTTCTCACTGTGTCCTTCACCATGGTTCCAGTTCCCACACGGTCACTGACTCTACTTAACCTTACTAACTCTGTCCCAACCACCCTAAGACCCGGGTGCTACTGTCCCCATTTAACAGATGAGGAAAGAGGGAGACGGCGAGGGAGAGAGGAGGAGACAGATGGGGAGAGGGAGGGGGAGGACTGTGTCAGGGTCACACAGTGACACAGGTGGAGTCTGGGCAGGTGAGCTCACGCTTTAGTCCTCACTGTACTGTGCTCCGTGCATGCACCGCTGGGGCCAGAATGTACCAGAAGCCAGCATGTCCCGGGTCAGGAGCCCTCACCCCTGACCCCTGTGGCTGCAAGTCCTCGGCTCATTTTGTCAGAAGAGCCTGCCACAGCCCTCCTGGCTACGTCAGCCACAAAACCACCAAGTCACAGCTGAAGGTGGCCGCAGGCTCTGGTCCCCACATTTCTCTCTAGCCCTGTCTTCCTGCTCTGTCCTGTGTCCCCTGTGTGCCACCACCACACTCAGGCCGTAGAGGCTGAGGCTTGCACTGAAGCATTGGCTCTCCCTGGAGGATCACTGGCTCTCACTGGCTGGTTGTCCTTCCAGACTGACCCTCAGCTCCTGGGCTATACACTCCACCCCGCGTATCTCAATCCTGACTCCAGTCTGCAGGTCTACTAGGTGCTCTGGGCTCTCTGCATCCTCACACCCCGGGAGTGCCCTCTGTTCTGCTGAGGTGGGTTCTAGGGCCTGGCACAGGGCCTTTCAGTGAGTGTTCAAGTGGCACTTGGTGAATGAGAAGCACACTGAGGGCTTTGGCCTGCAGCACTTGCCAAGGGATCAGTTCCCCTGACACTCACTAACTCCACCAGCTTTTGGGTCAGGCTGCCCCTCCAACCCCCACCCCAATGAAGCAGGTGACAACCACACCAAGGTAGATGTACAGGGCAGGGACACCTCCTGGCTGCTGTGTGCATCACTGCTGCTGATTCTAGGGAGACTTGGCAGAGTGAGGGGACCAATTTTTAAAAGTGTGCAAGCACTGGGACCCCAGGACCACCACAGATTTCCCCACTTACTTCCTGTCTGCCATAGGGTGCTCCCTGTTCTGGTCCTGAATACCTAGAAAATGGAAGGCAAGTGCCCTGGAAGACTGTGTCCCAAGCTTTCCAATCAATCAGTAAGCTGTGGACTGACCCAGTGACCCAGTTTTCTGGGCCAGCAACTCTGCAGAATTCACTGCTCCTCACTTGCCAATTCAGGTCACCCCTACCTCTTCAGGGCACCCAGAGGCCAGGGTGAATTCACCCTGGTGGGTACCTGAGGTCAATCCCTAAAAATGCCAGAGAGCAGGAAGCAGACAGGACAGTGAACAGGGACCGCCCTTGTATTTCTAGTTCTTCTCTAGGTCTCCAGAAGGAGCTCTAGATGAAAATAAAAGGCTCTGGTAGCTCAAGAATGTTCTGGAGAATAAAGCAGAGGGAAGAGAGCTCATGCCTGAGCTGGCAAACAGGAAGTGAGGGGCCTGGGGTGGGCTGTCTGGCTGCCAGCAGCAGGGAGAGGCCTGTCTGACTCTTGGCAGCCCTTGGCTCTGGGACAGCAGGGGTAATGCAAATGCCCACCCCTCCCCTGAAATGTAGCAAAATGGAGAAGGTTCCAAAATGTTATTTCACAGGCGAGATGTGTTGGGCCCAGAAACAAAACAAGCCTGGTGTAGTTCAGACCTGTAATTCCAGCTGAGGCAGGGCTGCTGCAAGTTCAAGGCCAGTCTGGGCTGCACAGTGAAACCCTGTCTTCCCCAAGGAGGGGTGCAGTAAGATGGCTTGGTGTACGGAGGTGCTCAGCCCCAAGCCTGGTGACCTGAATTAAGTCCTGGTACTTACAGGGTAGAAGGAGAGACTTGGTTCCCATGGGCCTTTGACTTCCACATGAA